ATAAAAATTATATAATAATTGCAACTAATTAATATATCTTGATTGTAAGATGTCGCCTTATCATAGAGGACTCGTTCTGAGCACTGACGAAACTCGGGTATCTTCTAATTGGAGTACTGATCTCTTCCCCAAACCATAGCACCATATTGATAAACAAACCAAACACATGGTTGTGTTCTACTAAGTACATTTGAATTAGAAAGGTGTAAACATTGCTGATCTTTTGGAGGAGGTGAGCCCAAATGCCCACTTTTTTTCAAAAATTTTAGAGAGAATGGCAAAAGCGAGAGGGAGATAAAAAGACCAAGAGGAAACACCAAAGAAATATCTACCCAAGCATGCACAGTACTAAGTCTTTTCGGTGAGTGATAAACTCTGAGCTTGTCGGCAGGTAGCATATGAGAACTACCTTTAAACAACAAGTGCCGTGCTTATAATAGGTCCCTTTTCCCAGTTTCACATTAAGGCTCTTTTCGAACCAAGCTATAATGTACGTTATTCAAAAAAGTGTCTTTAAATTTCCAAGGAGTGTTGTTATAAAAACTCATTTGTTGTTCTCTTTCTATTCTATTCTTTTGCATTATGGATTACTTCATTGACAAAAAGGTCCCAACTTTTCATAAGCACCTTCTTTTCAGAATTTTAAAACCAAGGGTGCCAACTTCTGCCAGTTATCTTGTTTTCTAACACTTCTGGTTTGTATGCCAAATATGTAAAGAAGTTCTCTGTAAAAGCAAGTTGACCTTTATATAAACTGTTTCATAAGCATTTTTCTTTTCTCCAACAAAATTTTTGTTTTTGTTTAGTAGAAAATTTTGGTCCAAATGATTATCAGAAAGGTTGTATATGCTTATTTATTATTATTCTATTAACGGTAAATTCTTATTTAAATAATAATTATTTATTTCTAAGCCTTTTTTGTTATGATAAAATTATTTTTGTGATGAATATATTTTAAAACTTGACTATACTGATTTTGGGCTAGTTAGTAACAATAAATAATTGTAACATGTGAAGTAAGTATGAAGAAAGATCTTGGTAAAAATTAATTAGTTCTTAATTAGAATAGGTGTGTAGCAGTAATCATTTAAATCATATTTGAGAAAACCACTTCTTGTATATATATATATAAGAAAGTAAGAATTCTATTACTGTATTATTATATACCAAAGCCTCATATGTATAAGATTTAGAAGGCAAAAAAGAATATTGGTGTTAGATATCAATATTTAATAAAAATTATTATAAAAGAATGAAAAGAATGCTTATTTGAGTTTATAACTTAAGTAACTCTTGAGTTAAATTCAAAACGATTAGGATAAATCTTTATATTATTATAAAAATAATGCAACTACCTAAAGGCTTTGTTCTTCCGAATTTGGAGGTTCATGACCCACGTTGAACTGGCTTTTGGCATTCAGAAAAAAAAAATGCTAGTAACCGATATCTAGCTAGGTGTATGTATTGTGATGATGAACAGTTCGGAAGATCTGAGAAGCTTTATAATCATGTTCTTACTTGTCATCTTTGGCCTTTTACTGAAAAAAGTGAATATCTTGCAAAAGATACTTCTAATCTTCGAAAGCGATTTAGAGCAACTACTACTAACGATGCTCAAATTGAAGGTTCTATTACTGTTAATAAATCTTCTGTAGCATCAAAACGACAAGAAAGTTTAACAGATTGGGTTATTAAACCAATATCACAAAATCAACAAGCTAAACTAGATGAAAAATTACTTAACACTATTATTTATAGCAATTTTGCTTTCACTTTCATTAACAATTCTTGCTTTGTTGATTTTCTTAAAGATTTGGCTTCTAATTATACTTTACCTTCTGCAAATACATTAAGTATAACAATTCTTAATTCAATATTTTCTACTCACCTAACTAAAAAATTAAACATTATAGCAACTTTAACTTATATTATCATTATATTGGATAGTTGGCAAGATATTTCTAATAATTTAATATATAGCTTTATGGCCTTAAAAGAAGATCAAAACCATATACTTGATATTATTAATTTGTCAGAAAAGTGTTATACTGCTACCTTTCTCAAACAGCAACTTGAAAAGGTTCTTCATTCAAAAGTAATTTCTATTAAATTGTCTATTATTGCCTGCATAACTGACAACCTTTTAGTTATGGTAAAAATAAGAGCTAATCTTAATAATGATTATCCTAATATCATTCCTATTTGATGTTGTCTACATTCTCTTAATTTGTTAGTAAAAGATCTTACTGGTTTTCAAGGTATCTTATCTGTAATTAAAAATAATCGAAAGTTAGTTAATTATTTTACATCTTTACATATTTGGCTTCAAACTCTTAAAAACTGGCAACATGATCAAAAAATAAATTATTCACTTGTCATGCTCTGTGAGACTCAATGGTACTCTCTAGCCAAAGTTTGTTTGAAAGTAGCAACCTTTGAAAGAGGCTTTTAACATTGTATTGAACTTTGCAAAATTGATAATTACCTTACTATTAGAACTGAAATTCAAGAAATTATTACTAGCCATCACTATTTTGCAAATAATGATACTCTTGTAATAATACTTACTTCTGTAGTAGATGCAATTGGTTGACTTGAATTTAGAGATGCCACACTATCAGATATTTTTAAAAAATTTATTAATATTTATCATATTTTTCTTACAGTAAATATTTCTATTTTGGGTTTTAAAGAATATGCTCTAGTAGCTATTGGTAAACAGGCTCGTAAATTTTCTGATCCTATTTATTTTGTTGCATTGTTTTTATCTCCAATATATAAAGAAATTGTCATATCAAAAAAAATGATAGGTGATTCTATTATTAAAGCTAGTTTAGAACTAGCAAAAGTTTGGGGCTTTGATAAAAGAGATACTACTCTTTTATATAAAGAACTTATAAATTATAAAAATGAAGATCCTCCATTTAATAAAAAAAAATAATACTAATGTTAATCCTAGAGTATTTTGGGCACAATTTACTGGCAGTTCTCCTCTTTTATGTCAATTTGCTATGAAAATTTTTTCAATTGTTTCTCATACTGCAGAGGTTGAATATCTTTTTTCCAGTCTGGGCCTAATAAAAACAAAGTCAAGAAACAGAATGTCTTTTGCTATGATAGGAATATTAAAAACAATGTATAATGAATTAAAAAAAGCATATTCTAAAAAACTTCAAGACAAGTCTAAAAAGCAAGTCTTATTTGATATTAGTAATAATGTTAATGTTTTTTTTGAAGAAGAAATAATTAATAATGAAGAATTTGACATTAGACTCATGCTTGAACACTGGCTTTTCCAAAGTGCCGGACCTCAAATAAGAGAAACAATGAATCCTCCTCTCTTCTTAAAATCAT